CCGCCATTGTAATTACCTCGAGGATTTCCACTGCCACGAGGTCCGCCACCGCGATTGTTTCGCTTGAAGTGTCCGTTGGGTTGACCGCCTCCATTCTCGCCACCAGTGACGATCGGCTTTCCATCGCCGCCATCTTGACTAGTTTGCTGCAGGGTTGAGGCATCTTTGGGAATTCCACCATCAGTGGAAAATTGCGGCTGCTGCAGCTTATCACCGACGGCGACTTGATCGACAATCTGCTTCTCGTTGGTGGGAATGGGCGAAATGTATCCTTGACCTGGGTTGCGCATCTGGAGGCTTTGATCGGCAAGTTGCATTTGGTGGGGAATTTGTCCGGTCATCGTCACTGGGATATACTGATTGGTACCTGGGATGAGAGCCTGATAACTAGGATTGGTGAATGTTTGCGTCGGAATAGACACGGGCGGGTACATGTGCGGCGTAAAGTGTTGGCTGGAAATGGTATTCGGAGGAACGATATTCGGGACGCTTGACACAGGGTGGCCGCCCTGGGCAAGTTGAGGCTGGTAGGGAAAGTTCGAAGACACAGCCACCACAGCCGGATCTTTGTGTCCCAGGAGCTCATTTTCGGGATTGCGCATGAAACACAGCTGGTTCAGGTGGACATTGCTCGGCTGTTGCTGCTGCTGCTGCGACGGCAGCGGCTGCTGTTGCTGGGGATGAGGCTGTTGCTGGACCGCAGATGGTTTCGGCTGCTCAACCTTGGCGGAGATCTCAGACTAAAGAATAAACAATTTGTAAAACCAGTAAAAACAAAACAAAAATAAGTCTTACCTTTTTCACTGGAGTCACACGCTGCTCTTCGGTGGTAGTCACGGGCGCAGAAACCTCAGATAAAGGCACAGTTTCCTCCTTATCAGCAGAGGAAGTAACCGAGGTATTGTTGGTGTCAGGAACGATAGGCTCCGCGGAGACGGGGGCGATTGTATCAAAGTACTTCGACTCGACCAACTTGCCAATGGTTTCCTTCAGGACCGAGTACGAAACGCCGGTGGAAAACTCGCGTTTATTGCCNGTCTTACCTTTTTCACTGGAGTCACACGCTGCTCTTCGGTGGTAGTCACGGGCGCAGAAACCTCAGATAAAGGCACAGTTTCCTCCTTATCAGCAGAGGAAGTAACCGAGGTATTGTTGGTGTCAGGAACGATAGGCTCCGCGGAGACGGGGGCGATTGTATCAAAGTACTTCGACTCGACCAACTTGCCAATGGTTTCCTTCAGGACCGAGTACGAAACGCCGGTGGAAAACTCGCGTTTATTGCCGTCGAGAAGATGGTTGACCTTCTCGGCCGAGGATTCAATTGCATCGACACTCTTCACGGACAGTACTTCAACAAGTTTCTCCAGAGCATCAACCTGATTTTGTTCGAGTTTCTACAGTTGAAAAACAAAAGTCATGCGTGAGACACTATGTCGACAAATTTTAAGGCGCGGCACACTTACCACAGCACCGTTTTCTCCTTGCAGCAAGTCATTCTTGGCGGAGCCGAGTCGAGCCAGAATGAATTGCGCATTGAGCCACAACTTTATACGCTCGCTCTCTTGCTGGTTACGTTCAATTTGCTTTTCATGAGCCTCGCGCTTTTGCAGCTTCTTCTGCTGCTTTCCGTACTGAAAGTGAAAAGGGGGTAACGTTAAAAGATTAGAAACATGAGACACAACGTTCACCAACGTACGTTTGACAACTCATCAGACACGGACTTTCCGATATCCTTAAGCAAGTCAATCATTTCGACGACACTGTCCAGCTTCTTGACTGCAACCAATTGTTCAGCCTCAAGTTGCTGTCCCTTGTCTTCCAATGCCTTGATCTCAAGCAAACGAGTCTGAAAATGGAGTTGAGTAAGTAAATCAACGCGATTATTTGTAGTGCAAAGTAGAAACAGGCAAGTTGACGCCTTTCGATCAATAACAAACCTTTCGCTTCTCAAGATTGCGCAGCTTCTTCGAGAAGAAGGTGCTCAACTTGGTGTCCAGTTCGGCAATGGTGGTGCATGGTCCGTCGGTATTGCTGTTGGGGGCGAGGCTGGACTTGCCACCTTTGCCGTTCTGGTCACCAGAAACAGCGGCAGACTTCGTCTCGTCTTTGGCAGGCATGGCAATCGCAATTACACTGTTGATAGAAGGTGGTGAGAGTGAAGGAAGGGATTCACAGGACCTCGCTGGGGTCGGGATGTTGCGGCGAGAAAGATAGAAATGGAAGGAGGAGAGCGAGAGCGAGAAGTGGGTAATCAAAAGTGCCTCAACGCAAGCGGCGACTAACCAACAATGAGCTGCAGCTTTTGTTAGCGATGCCAGCGGCTCCGAGCAGCGTGCACCTCTCTTTCGCACTATTTCACCCTCAGAGGGCACTCCTCAGCGCTGGTTTTGGGTCGGCTGCGACCGAAAAGTGCCACTCAAACTGAACACTGACTGTTCTACTGTGAAAGTCATGCTTTACGCGCTCCGTCGGCCCAAGATTGGCGTTTTTGCACTACACAAAGATTTTTCCAGAAAAAGAAAGTTTGAACGCTCTGCGCTGACAGTTAATGTCCGTCCGTCTGTCCGTCACTACAGGGACAGGTACACCGAGGGAATAGTTGGGGATAGAAAAGCGTCCAAACTTCGACGCATAGAACTCCAACGCACTGATACACTCATCATACATTGCACCCAAATTGCATTTATACTCAATCGTATTGACGCCCTAATCAGTAAAGGTATCGGATCAGCTGTCGCTACACAGAGTGTCAGACAAAAGAGCACTTTTTACTTTTACAAAAATGCCACACCACTGCTACATACATANCGTATTGACGCCCTAATCAGTAAAGGTATCGGATCAGCTGTCGCTACACACAGAGTGTCAGACAAAAGAGCACNCCGAGGGAATAGTTGGGGATAGAAAAGCGTCCAAACTTCGACGCATAGAACTCCAACGCACTGATACACTCATCATACATTGCACCCAAATTGCATTTATACTCAATCGTATTGACGCCCTAATCAGTAAAGGTATCGGATCAGCTGTTGCTACACACAGAGTGTCAGACAAAAGAGCACTTTTTTTACTTTTACAAAAATGCCACACCACTGCTACATACATCACAGTGCTGCCCTCGCAGTAAACAAAATCTAGAGTGGCGCCAAAAAGCGCCTGTACTGGCGAATCCGATCTAAAGATCTGAAGATAGTGTGTGTGTAATCAGCAAACCAAGATTTCGTGATTGCTGCAGTCGCTGTGCTCTGAGCCGCCAAAGGGATAGTAAAAGTAGCCGGCACCGCCGCTGGGATCAATCTTGCCCAGCACCTGTCCGCGCTCCTGTTTGACGCATCGACCCGAGTAAATGGGAACTCCCTGCGAGTTGTGGCCGGCGACAAAGACGGTGGGCGCGATCATATCGCCGCCGTGACGTGGCGCCCACAGGTACTGCCCTTCAGCGCCAGTCAGTATCTCCACGCCATCGTCGTTGAAGGCGTGCTCTCCGCCGCCCAGTGAAACATGACACTGTAGTAGGGGGAGATAGAAAATAGAATAGAACGGTTGCTGAGCCAGGAAAAACGCACAAATGATAACAATGACGCCGAGTCAGCCCCTTACCTTAATAGTTTCGCTGTATTTTCCTGGAATCAAGTCACCGTCAGCGTGGCGGCAAATGTACATGGGACGGCCATCGGATTCGTGTCCGGCTTTGATGGCGTTCGGGGGCAGCTTGCCACCGCTCAGTCGCTTCTCCCACTTCAGACCGCAACTGGTGCTCACGTTTCGGTTCACCTTCGCCAAGTAGGAGGCAATCTGCGACGGACTGATGCCCGACTGAGCAGCAGTGGCATTGTGCTTAGAGCCCACCACCAGGTTGGTCTGTGCCAGGCTGTGTATGTCCAACTTGGGGTTGGCAAAGACGTCGGCCACACTGATGGACGTGGAAGTCACAGCGAGCTTGGAGGCGTCATGCGGCTGGTAAAAGTTCTCCAGTCGCAGGAGCACCTCATTGTTGCCCACACCTCCCCAGTTTTGCAGCGTCAGCAGGTGCACATTCTCCGGCAGTGGTGCCTTCAGGGCGCTGTATTGCACCTGATGGTCGTTCCTGGAACATACAAAAACAGTCGTACAAATAATTTTTCCATTGCAGTTGTCTTCCATACCTGAACTGCGTGAAATTGCTAGTGGGGACAAAGCCAATGACTGGCTGCATAGAGAGAATCTGGTTCATCGGTCGGTAGTTGTCTGCGGCGGTGTTCTTCTCGCTGAAAAACATAATGACCTTTCCTCGGGCGATCACTCCCTTTCCGTCGGCATCTCGGTCGTCCACGGGAATGTCGGTTGTTTTGCGATCAAGCAGTCGTCGGTGGAGCATCAACTCCAGCTGTCCATCCTCCAGACTGGAGGCGCCCACTGAGCGGTCGGTGAGCAGCGCTAGCTCCAGGCCCGACTGAGCATCCTTCAGAAGGGCTCTTGAGGTGATTGGGTAGTAGTTGTAGGAGATGGCGTTGTGCGTGCCGTGACACTCTCTCGGCTCTTCATCGCGTATCCGTTCAATCTGCAAGGAGTGAGTGATGATGAAATAAGAGGATACAGAAACTGAAGTAACACTCTACTTACGTCCTGACGACCGTTTGCGTCCGTCCAAAATGTTTTCCTTGTGTCTAGGTCAGTCTCAAATCGGGTAATGACGTCTTTGCCAATGTCTGGCTGTTCGGCCACCGGTCCGATGATCCAGTCGAACTCTGCGTACTCCTTGTCCTCGTAGAGGCGTACTGTTTGCCAGATCCAGCCGTTGACCTGTTGGGTCACCTCGGCAAAGCCATCGTACTGAACTGCCGACACGACCGAGCTGCTGTAGTCAGACAGATCGACGCTGCCGCCACTGGGACAGAACTCGTAAGAGGACGAGGTGCCCTTTGAGGGGTAGTAGTGGAAGGACTGGCCCAGTCGGTGCACCTTTCCTCCCTTCACCAGGTGTTTCACTTTGCCCGTCTTTCCGTCTAGTACCAACTCCACGTTTTTGCCCTTCATCACCAGCTCCTGTTCTGCGTTCACCGCAATGGGTCTCTTGTTCTGAGACAGTCCACTGCCGCTCTTGACCACAAAGAAGGTGGTGTAACCAAGTGCGGGCAGCTTGGCACTGAAGACCAACTCGTAGCTGATGCTGCGGTGGTGGCCGACCATCGACTTGACCTTGCTGTTGATGGGCACATGACTCACCTTGGGTACCTCTTTGCCCTCAAAGTCATAAACCTTGTAGTTGGTGCTCTCACTGACGGGAATTCGCACCCAGGTGGTCTGCTTGTGTACCAGTGGATTGTAGACGATGCTGGCTAAGCCACCCTCAAAAGTCAGATCTACCTCGCTGATGTTCACTGTGTGGTAAATGATTGGCAGCCCGTTGCTGACATGTGCTCCCTTGTTGATCAGTTTGCCCAGAGCATGACTGATGACAGTTGACGCGGCGAGAATGGCGCTACTGAGGCGTTCTTTGTAGTCTACAGTAACAAACTCTCTCGATGTTCCGGTGATTGCATCATGGTGCTGCGGGTGAAAGGGCCTTAGTAAATTACCATCATCACTTGAGATTATCANTTGCTGACATGTGCTCCCTTGTTGATCAGTTTGCCCAGAGCATGACTGATTACAGTTGACGCGGCGAGAATGGCGCTACTCAGGCGTTCTTTGTAGTCCACAGTAACAAACTCTCTCGATGTTCCGGTGATTGCATCATGGTGCTGCGGGTGAAAGGGCCTTAGTAAATTACCATCATCACTTGAGATTATCATTACCTGAAGGACACCCAGTTCGTTGCTGCTCTCAAAAATTAAACTCTGCGTGTGGCTCAACTCTGCAGTCACTTCGAGTTGTTTGGCAGCCTGAAGTAGATTGTTTGCATATCGATCGAGATACTTCACCTGTGGCCGACTCGAGTAGTGTCCGGTCCACAGTGGAAAGTAGTCATGAGAGTGCACTTCCAGTTTAGGCTTCAGGTCCTTGATCGCCTTGATGTAACACTGTGGCGAAGAGTAGAAAAGATTTACGTCTGGATGATTTTTGTTCACCTCTTCGATTATCTTGTCCAGATTGCTGTAGTAGTGCTCCGCATGCTGGTACTTAAAATCGTCACCAAAGGTAATTAAAACGTGTCCCTTCTTTCCGTAGTCAACGTTCCACTTTTTGCCTAGCTCGGCAAGTTCTTTTGCCTTTTGAGCCTTGTTTTGATCGGTGATATCGTTACCTGTAAAATTACAACAAGTGTTTTATTTGATGCAATCATCTTTAAAACAGTTAACTTACCATCTTCAAAGTCGAATCCATTCGGAGCCGAGTAGTGATTGTGGAGAACACTAGTGAGGATGGAGTTGTAGTCACTGGTGTTCCAGAGGAACTCTCCGTGAAGATTGTGACCTCGATTAACAATGTGACCGTCAAAGCCCATCAGTGCGTACAGGTTGGCCACCTCTCTCGAGGCGCCAAATGGATCTACCTGCCATGAGAGCTTCGGCTCGGCACACTCGCCAAAGGTGTTGCGCACAAACTGAATGCCCAGTGTCATCTGGTCAATGATGTTGCTGTAGAAAGTGCTGGCCTCATCGTGAACGACCCATCCTCCATTTGCAAAGGTCAGTTGACCACTTTTGACGAGATTCTGGACGACAGTTTGCATCTGTTTGTCTTGTCGCTGCCACCACCTACTAAAGTAGTAGATCTCCACTTCGACAAACTTTCGCTTTGGGTTGCGCTGCAGTGAGTGCACCACATTGGTGAGCACCTTGCTCACGTCTTCGTCGTAGTATCCATCGGCGGTTTTCAGCCAACCTACATCATCGTGACTGAATTTGATTGCATCAGTAAAAGTGAGAGCTCAACTAAGGGCTCAGTGTTTCACCTGTGTGGAATGACGTGCAGCTGGACCTTGCTGGTGTTGTAGCTGCTTGGACAACTCTGGTACCCACAGCCAAGTGCCGACTCAATGGCTAAGCAGCAGGCGACGACCAGGCTCAAGAGCATCGCAGGACGAGCCATTTTAGAGGTTTTAATTTGATGAATGAATTAGCCAGTCAGTAGTCAGTGCACTTCTAGGGCACTTAAATACTGACCTGCTTCTCTACTTAGCAACTTAATTTGTAATTACTGTCCCAATCACCTCAAGTGTGGAATGTAATCATCAACAACAACAGCGTTTGATACTGCCTTAGCACCTGTTCTGCCCTGATCTATGGCCTTTCTCACACTGCCGTATGCTATCACCCAACTTCCAAATGATGTTTTGCTGGCTATCAGCAGTCAGGCACTTGATCAATGGGCGCTCGCCACAGCAGCATAGCTGAGATTATGTAATTGTAAAACTTGATTTTATTCTTAAATATAAAATATATAAACTCCACAACAATACGTGGCATTTATAGGTAATAATAATCATAATAATCATCATAATGGTGAACGGTCCAGGTATATAATACAGCATTGTATACAGCTACTAAGAAGGTAAGAAGAACAAGGATACAAGGATGCAGTGAGAGGTGTGCTACAGGTAGCGTACGGATGCACTAGATCACTAGATACAGCAGCGTAGTGAGTGGGGGAGGCAGGGAGTGTGAGGTGAGGGAGGTGATATTTACAGGCAGGGATTTGTACAGGTAGGAAAAATAGTTGCTTCAAAAAAATATGCATTTGGTGATGCATTGTATGCTACGACTTTTTTGGTGTTGTTGACAGCAACAACGCTCCACTTGTCTGGCACAGTCAAGAAGGCCAACAAGAGATTGCGTGCTGTACGGTAGATGTGAATGTTCAATGTCACCAGACCTGCTGCAGTTAAGTTCATTTGGCGATGTCACGATGATGTGTAAGGCAATCAAATAACAGAAAACACAGACACTTCACCTCAGGTTGTCACAGGAAATGAGTAAGGACTCGAGTTCAGAGAAAAGCTGCGAGAAATGATGTCAGTATTGGTAGATGATAATCTGATCAACATTTAATTACCTTTCGGATCCAGTCGCCGTCGCCAAGACACTCTTCGAGCACCATATCTGATGCTTTGTTTTCGTCAAGTGAGTAAATGCCTTCGGCCTGAGAAAAACAACAGTTAATTGAAGATGATGCGTAAGAAAAGGTAGGCGGACATTTCATCCCAAGCAAAACAAGTAAGTACCTTAGATTTGCACTTTTGTAAAAAGTTGTACTTTTGGTGGTACAGTTTGGAGTAAATAAAGGTTCTGTCTGTGCACACTTCACAACAGGCAAGTTTTGTTTGTTTTGACTCTGGTTGAGGCGTTAGAGATTCGAGTGTTTCAAAGTTGTACATTTTCCCGTCAAAATGCAGAATTTTGGTACTCCAATTATCATGGCATAGCTGTAATACAAGGGATTAGTAAACTGAACCAAAACAAATCTGACAAATCACATACCCGACATCGAAGATCGCCAACATCATTCTGATCCTGAATTTGAATTTCAGGATAAGTTTCAATGCACTTGACAATGCTCGTGTCCCACTTGACAAAGGAAATGAAACGAGCTCGTCTTTTGCCGCACAAGTCCTCCACCGTTTGAATGTGCGATAAAAAGTAATCATCTAGAAATTTAAATAATTAGAGAGTGCTGAGCTTAGCCATTTAAGTGCTACCTTTTTCCTTTATGACGTCCGCCATGAAGGTGGGGTCCAAGGCCTGACTGATCAAGGTTTGAATCTCCACCTCAAAGCTTTCCAGGCATTGAGATACGTCTTGAGGCGAGGGTGAATCAGAAGTGGAAGAGCTGATCTCTTTGTCATTCACAGATGCGACGGAGCTATTGAATAAGTTCAGTTTAGTAAAGGTTTTTAAAACATCCAGTTTAGACTAACCTTTCACTGCCCTTTGCTTGCGTCAAACCAAGCTTCTCTACGATGATTCTCGTTCGATTGCAGCCCATTATTCTGACATCTAAGCCAAGGTATTTCTGACGCACAGTTGGATTCCACGCCGAATACTGCAAATACAGAAAAAGTTATGTTAGAGAAGAAACTGCAAATTCATTGAAAGAGCTTACCGATGAAGTATTCGTGTACACGGTGACACCATTCTGCTCTGAGGGCTCAAAGCGCTGCAGTAAACTTTTGCCTTCAATCCTCCAGATGACAGGCAGCGAGGCGTTGGCCTCCTCTTCTGCCACCACAAAGTCACCGGTGCGCATTAGGCCCTCCTTCACCTGGGCCACCTTCTTGTCCTGAGATCGACGTCGCGAGGCAGAACTTTGAGAGGCGACGCTGGTGCTGCTGGTGCCACCATTATTGCTAGTGGATACATTCTGCGTGTTTAGAGTGATGAAGGTCGAGGGTGCAGTCAGGGAGGACATGGGCGTCGAGTTGGCGGGATGAATCGATATGAGCACTGCATTCGTCACCGGAGACACGTACGAGTTGACGGGCTGATTTTCAATGGGATTCATAATCAAGGTGGGCGTCACACTGCTCAGTCGAGCACTGGCTGATGGCTGAAGGTTGAAGGTGTTTGCCGGCGCAACCGGTTTGCTCAGACAGCTCGCATTGATAAGGCTCGTTTGCGGTAAAAGGCTGGTGCTCGAGTTGGTGCTCACTATACTGGCCAGTGATGTCTTGGCACTCACCAGTGGCACACTCTTCAGGTCGGTCGCCTTCAGGTTTAGTGCCGGACTAGTGCTCAGCTTGGGCTTGATATTCTTCACAGTGCTCACTGGTTTCAGTTTCTCAGACTTTTTGCTCACTCCTCCACTTGGGGTCTTATCACTTTTGTTTGAAAGAAGTCCTGGCGTTTTGGCTTTATTTGAACCATTCGGGTGTCTGCTCTTTGATGCTTTACTCGGCTTGATGACGGCTACATTTTCCTTAGCATCCGAAAGTGAATTCGGACTAGTGTCAGCTGAGATGTTCTCAAGTTTTATCTTAATTGGAACGGCAAGTTGGTCTGCTTGTTGAGGCTTTTCCACCTTAACAGTGACTGAACTAGTGCTAGAGGAACCGGAATTAGGGGCAACTTCGGCAACAGACTTTGGCTGAATCTTCGGTGGATCATTCTTTGCCGGTTTATTTTCACTTACTGCCGCCTCTTTGGGCTTCGTTTCGATAATCGGTTTTATGTCCTCTGCATCAGTTGAAGCTTCAACTTTCACTTGTACTTTGGCCTGTTTTTTAATGACTTTGGTGGTTTCCGTCGGTGTTGGAGATGGCTTTTTGGTGCTCCTCTTGATAGGTTTACTTTTGGCTGCACCGTCTAAAAAGTCGTACTCACTAGCACCGGGAGGTTTTTTGCCATCCTTGGTTTTTGGCAGCACTACTGCAATCTTCCGTTTCTTAGCACTACTACAGCCAACGACTTCGAGAGGAGAGGGAGAAGGAGGATGAGGAAGAGATGAATCACTGGTTTTGCGCTTTAAAGACTTTGATTGACTATCCTTGTCTTTGTTTGTTGCTTTCTCTGAACTGTCTTTCACAGGTTTCTTTCTTGCAGTCCTTTTACGAGATTTTCTAGACTGGATTGAAATTTTCAATTCAAGTTCTTCCTCGTTAAAGTCTTGAAGACCTCCTAGTCTGGCCACACAGTCAATGGTGTCATCAATGTTGCTTTTTGGAGGCGGCGGATCAATGACTGGCTTTGACTCAGCTTCTGTCTGAACTTCACTTTTGAGATTACTCTCCAAAAAGTCATCCACATCCTTTAAGCGGTTGTCCTCACTTTCTGATTCGATGGAAGGTCCGTGATCCATCTTGAGATCATTGTGCTCATGATCACCGGTGCTGTTTTCACTGAAAATGACCTTGTTGTTCGCAAATGAAGGGTTGACAATGTCGAGATCTTTGCTAATTGAGGAGACAATGCTGTTTGCTGATTTGAAAGTCGACTCCATGAGGGCAATCTTTGAGTTATCATTCATCAGGGGCGCAAGATCAGAGAGAAAGCTGTCTGAGCTGTTGCACTGCGACAAAACTTCACTGGGTTCATCAGTTTTGTTCGTCGCCAAGCAGTCATCGGGTTTGGGCAACGAGTCGATGATTGACTGAATATTATTGCACTCCATCGCAGTGTTCTCTAGCAGATGATCAGTTCCGTGACTAGATGGAAACTCCAGAGAGCTACAGTGCTCAATGGTGCCGTTTACAGCGGTGTTCCCTGGCTCCGAACAGGTAGCCAGCTGCTGCGATTGTTGTTGTTGTTGTTGTTGCTGACTGTCTGGTGGTACAAAGTCGACATGATTTGCTTGTTCTAGTGCACAGTGATTGTCAGTTTCACTGTGCGATATAAAGTTAAGATCATCGATTGAAGGAAATGCAGACTTGTCAACTTCAGAGAGGCCAACTCCTGTCAGGGCGTCCAGACCGCTCATTTCCACGCCATGACCTGTCGGCATCTGCTCCTGAATCGGATCTTGCTGATCGGGCATATGCTCAACCTCAATTGGCTGTATCACAGAGTTAAAATTCAAGTTAAAGCTCTCATGCTCAGGACCACTCGGGTAGTCTGCTGTTGTTGCTGCTGCTGCTGTTCCTTTTGGCTCAATCATGTGCGCTGAACTGGTCTGGTGGGCTGTACTCTC